TGGTGTTGAATTCTTAAGCACCTTAAATGAGCTACTCAAATCTCAAGACCTTTCTCTCAACATTGCAAACTCAGAAGGTGAGCTTAGTATTTTAATATTCTTCCATTGACTTCATGATCTATAAGATATATTAACTATCTCTTGTCCTATGCAAATTTGAAGAAAAAAATGAGGTCAAATTGCTGTATTTTAGGTCACACTGCCCTACATTGTGCCATCTTGGCTCATGGACGAGCTCAGAGAAATGGAAATGGCTACGTGAACAGTCTCTCCATCATTGAGGCGTTAATTAAAGCTGGGGCTGATCCTAATTCTCAGGTATCTAAAATAGAAATATTTTGTTCAGCAACAAATTATCTTTAATTATAATCAGTATTAAAAGTACATTGTCTGATTTCTGTCATGTCCACACTATGTCTAGACACTTAAACTCAAAAAAACATTATTTAATTACGCTGGTTTCACATTTAAATTTACGTGAAGAATGCACTGTAAACCAACTTTTATTCATTTTAACGACTTTATTTGGGGATTTACCAAGGATAGACTAGTTGACGACGATTAATTTTCGCAACCAAGCCTTTTTGGATCTGTTGTTAACAGACACATACACTTTAAGGACCGGTTCGCAGTGAGAAATATTTGTGATGATGAGGCTCTCGCTAATTTCACAAAAATTTCACACACGCGAATAAAATTTGGTTTACAATATATGGGGTAAAGTAAAAAAAAATTTAAAATGTTCTAGTATTTTTAAAAAATATATATAATTTAAAATAAATTATTTCAATATTTTCACAGGACAAGAAGAGTGGAAAGACCCCCCTCATGTATGCCATTGAAAAGAAAGACTATAACTTGGTAGAGTCAGTGCTCCGATTATTCGAACCCTCCAAACTCAAAAACATTGTCAAGTCTGCCACCTTTGATGGTAGTTCCTGCATTAAAATTGCTGAAGGACTGAAAAACGATTTTCAGCCAGACACATGGAAAACTGTGGAGTCTGTTAAACAGTGCGTATAATGGGCAGATTCCGACCAGTCTACAGGCATTCTGAGGAGAGGTCCATCTGCACCACCACAAAGCAGCTCGAAGAAGAGATCTTGCAATTTTCATGTTTCCATCTTGTAAATAGCTACAGATTCATTAATGATATATAAGTTATTTGTTGCTAATCATCTGTAAATAGTAACGATCTCAGAATCATTATCATTTGTCATTTTTATTGTTTTTTTACCCTTTGTAATTTTAACTGGTGCATTCTCATCGACTAATGTACTTTTCACATCTGTGCAGAGCTAAAGTCTTTGTAGCTGGATAATTTGTTTGTTGTTGTTGTTGTATATTTTAATGTTTGTTCCTTGGATATCTGTTGATAATTAAGTATGTTAGAGATGTTGGTGACTTTGTTTATTACACTGAAGTACTTTAAAAGATATTGTGATTTTTTAAAATGATCTTGTTGTTCTTGCACATGTAGATGGTACATCTGAAAATAAGTATTGTACTTGGTTTTTCATAAATATTTTTTTCATATATTTGTCTACGAGGATGATAAAGGGAGCAAAGAAAATTGGAATTCTTTAAATTATTCTACAATTTTAACTATAAAACAAACAAAATTCTTATAGAAAAACACTTAGAATGCAGACATTTTATGTAATTGGTTCAATTACATTTATATGCATTATGCAATTAGTTGCCATGAAAGTCTATAATAAATAGGCAAAATAACTATACTTGTTAAACAATGTTTGTAGCTGAAGAGTGCAATTACTGGTCGTTCACTTTGTAGATATTTAACATTGAATGTTGCTTTTCATATGTACTTGTTATTTTTTCCAGAGTTTTATCTTTAATGTTAAGTAATGATCATGTATTTTTTAAATGCTCTTTAATTAAGGAACTTGGAACAGATATGTTTGTTCTGTTGTTATGATGCTATAATTTTGTCGATATTCTTTGCTACATTCAGTGCTACTTGGCCGTTGTTAGTATCAGAACTAAGTGCTTTGGATCAGGCCCAGGGTGTATATTGGGAAATTTTCTGTGGCCTTGACCTCTGTGTACAGATATGTTTAATCATTATTTTGTGGGTCTGTTAAAAAAAATGTGATTCAATAAGTACATATTTTTTTTCTGAAAATGTGCCTATTTATAAAGAGATAAGGTCTATATATTTATATTGTGATTTACCAAAGTCTGAATTTTCTCTGTTGCTACTGTTCTCACCTTTTACTCTTTTTGCCATGAAATGGTTTCTCTATTTTATGCCTATATGAAATTTAAAAATGGTTTAATTTTTAAAGTCTATAACTTAGGATAAAATGTAACTAAAACTATATTTGAAAAGAAACTTGGCATTGCACAGAATGGTTTGACATTATGTAAATGAGGCAGCAGCATTATAAATAAAAACACAAACTCACATGGACTTTGTTATTTTCTGGAGCAATTAAGTGACACTAGCTTTTTACTTTAAGTCCCTGATGAAGAGAATGTTAATGATGTAGGTAAAAATATTGTAAACTGAACTAAAAAAAGGTTGAAGCCCAAGCTGTACATAGCGTCTTTACATTTAGAACACACCAATTAATTCCTTGTTTATTGGACATCTGATGAAAATAGTAGGAGTGGGGCAAGTGATCAAACTTCAAGGTCACAGGATAACAAATCCTAGTATATTTAGAGAGGCGTTGTCACAGGTAATACACGTGTATACTATGCAGTATAATTAAAATTAGATCTTTCATCCGCTCCTCGTTTTTTTATATGTCGCAAGGATGCGACAGTATAAATAGAGGTCTGGCTTTTATGTCAGATTGGTGTAATATGAAGCACTACCTTTTCTATTTCAAAAGTTATTACCAATTTAAAGTAATGTTTAAATTTTTGAAAAGTAGGTCAATTAAAATTCAAAAATGTCAAACTAGTCAAAAATCTAGAAAATGCAACCAGCATCAAAAACAAAGAGAGTGTTCATCCCATGATGTACCTTCCATGCAAGTTGGTTCAGATATAGGCCTTATAGTTTCTTGCCTAATGGGCATGTGCCAAAAACTTTAACCTGGCGACCGTTTCAGTAACAGGTCGTAGCTTATCTGGAAAATGTAGGTCAAATCCAGCATCTGAAAAAAGACAAGTAGTGTACATCCTTAGATGTATCATCCATGCAAGTTTGGTCAACAAAGGCTTTAAAGTTACTTGAAGATAGAGCTTAATTCTCCAAAAATTTTAACCTGGTCACTCATCTGAAAATGGTCAGATCCAGCATCCAAAGCAAGCCTGGTACTGTGCATCATTAAATGTATCATTTGTGCAAGTTTGGTCTACCTAGGGCTTATAATTTTAAAATAAGAAATGAGAATAATACTCCAATAACTATTTTATAATCTACTCCAAAACCTTAAAGATGAACATGAATTGTAAATAGGCATATATGCCATATTTGATTGTACTATCTAAAGTATCTGCACCAGGGTATACCCTTCCCATTCATAACACCTGACTGCTCTATTGTCACAGGTATCGAAATGCAAAGGTGACACATGTTCATACTGGTTTTCCTACATTGCCTTCGTTTTACATTTTATTACATATTCATGTATGTGTTTGTTTGTATACTGCACTGTTTTTTGGTATCTTACTCTCCTGCCATGGCATCTTCGCTAGCCAAGGGTTTCTGATACGTACGCTACTGTCCTAATAATCCCTTGGCATATGGTGGTGTGAAAAGTCACGAATGTTTTGGTCACTTGATCTCGAATTTTGAACAGATACGTACAAATTGTGTCTTCAACAGAAATAAATAACATATTTAAATCACGAAGTTTTTAAAGAATAATTAACAAGAATTATGAGGAGAGTAGCTTATCAGAAACCATTGCATTGGCTGGTGATGATGCTGCCATTAAAGAAGTAGATGGTTATTTTTGTAGCTACCAAGTGCTGTACATAGCCTGTGTCCATCTACATAGGTGACAATTCATTACACTGAACAGTGACTAAGGGAACAGCTTATACAGGGACTCCCAAATTATGACAAATGAAAGAATATGGCATACAAATTCCTTTTACAAATGTTCTGAGTGAGTGAGTGAGCTTTAATCTGCTCTAAAAACATTAACCTTTGCTGAAATTGCAGCATCTGAAACCTTGACTAATACAATGAAACACTCTAGAAGGAACTTCCATGCTTCTATGTTAATGAAGGGCAGAGAAGTACTTAAACAGAAACTGCTCCAAAAATTTTAACCTTCGACACTGACAGTATATCATATATAAGCTCCCCCAACTTCCTTGGGGTGAACTAAAATAGAGAGATATGAAATGCAGCAAAATTTTGAGTGGGAAAAATGTTTGATATTTCTGGAAATTAATTTGTTATGACTGTCTAACACCTTAAGGTCCATTTGTTTGATGGATTATTGCAGCTCTGACTAGAATCTATAGCAACTGCGAAAATCATTTTCACTTATCATTTTCCAAAGGTTAAAGATAGACACCTATAATGTCTCTTCAAATCCCCATGATAATCATATGTAAGAAATTTCTGATCAAGCCAACTATATAAGATCTCGAGCTCAAGAATTATGACCTATGAAATTACTTCTTGTACAAGTTGGCATTAAACGACTAGCTGGCAAAACCTTTTTAGACCTACATCCCACAGATAATAAAAAGAAAAATATCTAATCAATTATCTTCTGAGACAGAGACAATTATTTCAACATGCAGGATCCACATGATTTCTACCTTAATTTTTTTTATGTTAATTTCTAAGTGTGATTGACTACTTTGCTGTGACATTTATATATACAGTCATATAGTTATTAAGTACATGCAATATTTAAACTTCATCATCACATCAAGTTTTTCATTTAAAAAGTTGTTTTTAAATTCCAACTCTTAGCACTTCTTAAATGTCATCTTCTAACTCTGAACTCATCTTTTGAAATCAACAAGTCACTCAGCAAGGTTCAGAAGTTTATTAACTAAGATTTATAATTTTTTGCTGATTGTCAACAATAACAAATATATTACTTATATAAACTTTATATCACAGGCTATATATCACAGGCAAAAATAGAGAAAATAAGTTAACAAAACATCAAAAACTTAACTAACTCAATGTTCAAAAATAAATATGTATATAATTTGCCATAGTTTTAGATAAGGCTTTCATGCCCATTAATATCTATAGCAGAAAAAGATTAACAAACAAAGTCTATGTTTAATAGTGTTACTCTAGCAGTGTTTGCTGAGTGCTGGGCCATTAGTGCCCTTCTCGTAGAATGTGGTGACAGGGGGTGGGCCATTGTTGGCACCATAGAATGTTGTGATGGGTGGTTTCTGACCGTCCTCTAAGAACGATTTTTCTGTACGCAGGCTGTTAAACGTACTCCTGTCTGTAGAAACTGTCCTCAAAGAAGAATGTTCCTTTGCCCTTCCCAATGTAAACAGCATCACCATCAGAATGCATTCCTAAAGAGAGACAGGCACATTTCACTAGGGATTAGTTTACACAGTTTTGACATAACAGATGTATAACCTACATAAATGCTATTGAATTTCAAGAATCAAATAGAAAATGTTGGCAATTCTTCATATTTGCAAATAAACACACTTTCATAAAGGCTCAGACTTTCATGCAAAGTACATTATACTGTGATTATTATAATATTTAATGCAAAAATGCCAATATTTGAACATGCTTGAATGCCCAAACCTGGTTTTGTTACAATTTTTCTGTATGTCAACCGTACAGAAAAACAAGGTCATCTCAAGACAACAAAAGGTCCAGGGGGCCACTTTGCACACCTGAGTTACAATGACTCTTCTATTTTTTATCCTTCCTTTTTATATATTTCTATATAAAATTAAGATAATATATTGTGTCCTACTTTACCTTGGCCTCAGGCATCATGATTTGAATAAACTTAAAAGTATTTAGGATGCTCCATACTTAAGAATGACTACCATGGTAATCATGGCTTAGCTGTTCTAAAGATAAAGACCTTATAACACTTTTCCTATACATGTACAAGTATATTCTTATGCAAAATTTTGACTATTGATTGTGGCCCCATCCTATTCCCTGGGGTCACAATTTGACCAGAAAAGCTCATTTGAGCCTTTGGCTCAGATGAGATAAAACATGCTAAAATCCAAAGTATTTTATGAAGCTTCAAAATAAATGTGATTAAAGTTTTGCTGTTCCCTCAAAGAGGATTTTTCTACATACATGTATTTCTATTTAAAACTTTCAATGCCAATGATGCCCCGAACCTTTCCTTGGGGGTCATGATTTCATCAAAATTAAATCTACACTACTGGAGGATGTTTCCACATACAATGTGCCTTAATTGGACTTAATTAAATTTAAATCTTTGATTGCACATACTGGCTGTATCCATCCCCAGGAGTCATATGGTTTGAACAAAATTGAGGTTTAGGACAATGCAGGCTGGTGCTGACAAAAACAGACAAAGAACAGATTTTGATCAGGAAAGCTCATTTAAGCCTTTGGCGCAGGTGAGATAAAAAATCTTTATCCACTGTATACAATTTCAGTGTTACCCATAACCAATATTTCTTTCACCAAAAAGCTGCCATTAAATTTTGTGAAGCACAAGTACAATTACAACAATTGTTAAGGATAAAAAATATTAAAAACAAAGACTGTATGGAAAACTTTTTCAAAAAGTATATTAGGGTGTATGTGGCTCTTCACATGTAGATGTAGGTACACGTACTAAACAATTAGGGAAATTAAAACTAAAAACATTCAAATATGTGTGTCTTTAGTTCTCACAACAAATACAACATGTTTGTGCTTATGTGTGTGATGTGTAAGTTTTTATATTTTAAGTATACAACAATGAAGCCTATATAAGGATGAAGGAAAAATGAAAAAAAATTGTTAGATTTTAAGAAACATTTGAAAACCCCATTAGTAAACAGCCTTCTGTCATTATTACCTGATCCTCCAGATATACTACCTCCTGTTAAATGATGCATAAATTTAATTCATGCTTTTGAAAATTACTTTAAAATTTTAAGAAGTTTCTGTTTTTGATCCAGAAGAAAATAAAGGGCTAAATCTTTTATCAGGATATTTTGAAAAAAAATGTAAACACAACTAAAAACATTGATAAGTGTTGCATAATTTAAATCACTGCTCCTTTGCACAAACAATCAACATTTCCCTCATAAATATTCTTGGTGCATAAAGCTGCAGGACTGCAGGTGAATGACCCTGTATTCCATGAAAAATGATCTTCTCCTACCTTGTTTATAAAACCCTATTTATTTTACATAAAAAAAAAGAGTTTACTCTCATGTCTCAATTACTGCACAATTGCTGACAGATCAGAAACAGGTGCAATTTAGAATGTCTAGCAACACCAAAAAAGACACAATAGTCATAATGAAATAAAAAAAAAAAACTGGTTCTCTTTTGGGCCTTGTCTTGACTTTGAATTGAAAGGTTTAACATCTTTCTAAAAACTGTCCCATTTTCAGTGGATGCACATCAAATCAATATGTCCTAGCAGCGATGTGATCCTTTATTTTTTGAATTAACTAGGACAATGCAGTGGTGCGAAATCTTCCCTCTCTATCGTTTAATGTTCTTTTTTTCCAGGAAATATGGAGGAGGAACACCTTATTAATGTAAATTAGCAGGAAAAGAACTGGAATATTACATGCATGAATCACCACAAATGGCTTAAAAAGTCTACTCCTAAACTAAAACAGAGTGGTTATTATATCTAATCTGTCAGCAATACAGGTTTCAACTAAGCTTTTTAAAATTCTCTTAGTAACAATTCGTCATTTATTTAGACTCTGCATATTTTAAAGAAAGTCCAATAACTCTACTGAATAGTTCATTCTGGCAATTAAAACTTGTTACTTGCTGTCAACAGCAAAGCTGATAAAATTGTTTAATAAAATAAAATGATTTGATGACTTACTGTGCGTCTTTGTCTTGGGGTAGACTTTGAGTCTCCAGACCATGATGGCCACAACGATGAGAATGATGAGCAGGATGGAAATACAGATGCCGACGATCATCAGAATCTTGATTTCTTTATCCTTGTCATCCTGAAAAACCAGAGACAGAATGTGTCAATGTTGTATCATATGTAGAGAATATTACATGCTAAAATTCTTATTATTTATAATTCAGGCCCCAGTGGCCCCATATCAGCATGATCGAGGGCCAAAGTTATGATAAGGGTTTTCGGACCATGCAGTCATTAATTTTGAGCTATCGTGACATCACTCTTATCCCACAGTGTGGAATCAGTGTAATTTCTGCTTAGTATATAATAAATTCACATATCTTTGGAAAAATAAAACAGAAATGTACATCAAATGCAGCAATCTATCATGCATTCATAACATATATTACCCAAGTTTAAACATGTAAAGAATTCATCTTCCTGTATCAATACATGCATGAAAACTTAAGTACATGTATACACGTAATAAATGCACAATGAATGGTTAAGATGATTTAAATCTATTACTAAAACACTCCAAAAATGTACTGTTTAAAAGTGGATATGACAATTCAAGTAATATGATCTTTAAGTAGTGCAATGCATGCTTTCGCACAAGTCAAAAAAAAATTAACACTAACAGACAGCAATTTTAAATACTTTTCCATGATTATAAATTCTTATACACAGATCAGCAATTTAGAAATTTTCCATCACCACCACTACATATTCTCCATATGTCTAAAAATAAGTGGATCAAGGCTTTTGTTTCTCATTTAAGAGAAAAATCATTCAAAATTCATTTACAAGTTTATGATCACATAACCCCAACAATTAAAACACAGATGGCCAACTAAACTGTTAACCATCTTCTGTAATCTCTCAATACCTGAACTTAAACACATGCATTATTAACCATGCACTTTCAAAATATTAGTATTTTTTCTCAATTGCTATTGCTTTGTTATTTTCCCCATAATAATTTAAAAGATGTCCTAGCGACCTTTAATGTATCACATATGTTGCCAAATTGCAAAGCTAAAATAATTGTTTACCTCTTCATGCGTATAATCGTATAAGGAATGAATATGAGTGTTCATCTTTGACATAATTGCCATACATGGGGTTTTACTGAATCGTTAAGCTACCTTGTTTATTATGGAGTGGTTTACGATTGGCAATTAATTTCATAACCACTTCCTTATATGCCTAACTAATTAAAACCTTATCTTGTTTACAAAGGGATTTAAATAGATAAAAATGTTCATATGCCAACTGTTAGTATTTAATCATTAATGCAATATTTACTTTGAATGTTCAAGAAAAGAAATGTAACAAGCACTAGGCATGTATGGAAAGAGAGGAGGGGGGAAAAAGACCCATGGACTATAACAGTCACCCAATTATGTCTGCCTTTTTTGAGACATTAATGTCATTCTCTCTCTAGAGCTCGATATCTCTCTCTCTCTCTCTCAAAAAAAAAATGTGTTGTCTTATTTCTAAACAAAGTCTATGATTTAAATAAAACTAGAAAACTGACCAGTCAGCAAGGGCCCCGCCATGGGGTGGAATTATAAGGATGCAGCTTACGGAATGATTAAAAAATATATGAAGAAATAAGCAACAGTAACTGTATTCTTAAAATTTTCAACATAATTCCTGAATATCCAAAAACCTATAAATAATATCTTTGTATATTTACATTAGGCAGTAAAGTACAACCTAACATTGAATGTATAAAGTATAAACAATAATGAAGTATGTGTAAGCGTTATATAAAATGCCAGTCTCCAATGAATGCAAATACATGTATCATGAAGGCTTGACCTTAACTTCAAGACAAACAGCAGTTGCAGACAAAGGTTTTCATTAATCTTAAAATGACAGATAAAGATAGGCCTACTAAATTTTCTTTAGCAGGCTAGATAATTAATCCCAAGGGATTAATTGTACCTCTCTCATCATTTTCTTCTAAAGTTACAATAAGAACTTTTTCAGTACATGTATTAATACTAGAATGAAATCATAACTCATTGTGTAGGTATTTTAACCAAAATAAAGTATAAACATTTATATCTAAATCCACATTTCAGAGTGTTCATAGCATTCCAAATTGACTGAACTTCAAAACAAACTTCATTTGCAGACAGAGGTGGTAATTAATCTCAATGTGACAGATAAAGATAATGCTTTGGATTTTCTGCAGGAGGACAGCTAATTAATCCCAAGAGACTCATAGCAGCATTCAGTTTACAATGGAAACATCTTCAGCAGTTATCTCTCTTTGCCAAAGCATTCTTATATAAGTTAAGGAATATACCCCACCACCCCAGCTCCAAACCAGGGGACATAGAGAATCAAACCTAGCATCAAAATATGTCTTTCTGCCTATTGAACTACCATACCAAATTTGATCTTAATCGGGCAACCATAAAAAAAGTTATTAGGAAAAAACAGAAAATTTGTGGACGGAAGAATGACAGACGGACAGACGGACAGACAGAGTGATTACTATAGGGCACCCGCAAATCCTTGTGGGGCCCTAATTATCAAAATTGAATATGCTTTCTTTTTTCTCTGGCAGATAGTAGCCCCGTTGTTCTTAGGAAAAATATTTAAAATTTTTTTCCTCATTTATTACTCCAAAAAAAATTAGCATTTGAAAATGCACTTATTTATACTCTCCTCCCCCTAAAAAAGCTGGACAAAAACTTGAAAAATGACATTTAAGAAAGAAAAAAAACTTTAACATTGCCTAGGGCTTGAAAGAATTTTTGTCCAAGTTGTCAAAAGTACATGTAAAAAATTAAATGTCAACTCTGTGAATGTTTGAAAAAAAAAGACAAATAATTATTAAAAAGAATTTGAAAGATTTATCAAAATAGATTTTGTTCTTGATTTCTATTGGTAACAATTTTAGACAGACTTCTATGCCCCAAAGACCACGTAACTCACTAATAGCAGCATGGACCTATGAGATCTGAAGGCAAGTTGAACTTTATGAAAGTCATCTATGTTGGTAAAAGTAATTATCTTGAAAACAATTTCACATAAAAGTGCATCACAGAGTTAAAGTACATTATCATTATACAAAAAAAAAAATAGGGTTACAGTGGACCCTCCAGGGCAAGATGTTTTACTTTTTTCTTTCACTGGGGAACAGATGCCAACTGTCAATGATCCTAAGTTTACAACAGGCACATTCATTATAAGCAAGTTTTACTATAACTGTTAATGTTCCATCATTCTAAAATTTTTTTATCCAGTAACAAGTGAACTTCTACTCTCAAAATGATTTCTTTTACTTTTAGGCAAAAAACTACACAATAAACTTCTTTTTATCAGTGATGTATAAAACAATATAATTTGTCACATCCAAAGTACAATCCACTGCAATGTATTTCTCTTAGTTTATCTATATTATTTAATAAAATTCAATTTAAATTACCTCATCATCACAGTAATCAGCCCCATTCACTGACATTGTCTTACTGAGAGTATGGGTGGTTCCTTTGTAAGTGAAGGTGGTGCCACTTTTAATGGCTGTACATAAGGCCTCAGTCACTTCCAGGACGGTGGTGCTGTTGCCAGAAACTGTCACGGTAATGACAACACTTCCTGTTAAGAAAGATGATTAATATTCATCAGTAAATGCCAGTTTATAACAGGTGAAAAAAATTGTAAGATATGTAAAACATATTTCAAACACTTTGATATCTACTAATCATGGGGAAAAAATGTTTGTGTCTTTCAAAGCTATTTTTTTCAGAGAATCATGATAAATTTCAGCCAAACAGTATTTCAGTATATTGAATGATGGAATATGACTGTGTTATAAGATTATAAACAACTTTGTTCCTACCTTGTGAGACCTGGAGGTTAGACATCTTCATGTAAGGGTACCTAGACTGGAAGTGGTTAACAATCACAGCTCCAAACTCTGTGGTGCCATAAGTAGCAAAGTCACGGTCAAACTTGATCTTCACCGTGTGGGTGGTATCTATGGTAACGGTCTGAGCCTCGCTCGGGTAAAGGTAAAGGTCATGAGTGATCTCGTGAGAATACTGGGCCGGTACTGAGTAGACTGTGAACTTGATGAAGGCCATTCCTACAGTGTCTAACTGGAGGTCATTCAGGGTCACCAGACCAGTAACCGGGTTAAAGGCCTTGGTGAATGTTCCACTCAATGAACCTGTGTAGGAGTTTCCAGTCATTTGTGTCACATTCACGTACCAGTTCAAGCCCTGAAATGTAAAAAAATAAAATCCAATTTAAGCTACTGCTCAAAAAATTATCTGTTACATTTATAGAGATTCATTGTCAGAGAAAAATAAAATTAAACTTTTGAATTGAAAAAAAATGTGTGTCTTCCTATGCCATTTCCCTCTCATGCTCACCCAAAGGAGAGGGTTTTTTTTCAATGTGCTTTTCTTATAGGTAGTCCGATCCTCAGGTTTATAAAATTAGCAGTTAAGTAACAAAAAATACTCATAAAATTATCTCTGAATCCACAAAGTTATGTTAAATTATCCACAGTATTTCTTTAAAGTAAAAGATTAAAGTTAATCATATTATATAGGGAGAATTGTCAAATCTCCAATATTTTTTGCAGTATAAGCGAATTGGAATATCAGCAATGCATTTTCTAATTGCAAATTGATCAACTAATATATTTTAGGTTAAAAAACGATAGGTATCCAGGCATTCAAAGTTTACAACGACGACAACAAAGACGACAGACAACGGACAAATTTTGATCAGAAAAGCTCACTTGAGCCTTCGGCTCAGGTGAGCTACAAAACAAACAAACAACTCAAAGTGCTTGTCAATGTTTTTTCATGCAAGATGTTTTTTTAACCCCTGGTTGACACCCACTTTTCAAAAACAATACTATGTCCCTGAATTAAATACAACTCAAATACACTTTTGATAAAAAAAATTTTGGATATTTTTACAATTTGTCCATTGGAAGACAGCAAACATGAAAAATAAATAATTGGTGTGCAGTGATAGGCCCGATATCTAATTGTTTACAAAGAAATGCACTATAATTGACTCTATTTTAGTTTTAATAACAGTTATAATAACGAGACTATTCAACCTGGAAGAAATGGCACTAAAAGTCTATATGTACTCTTCATACATTAATAAATACAATGTACCACTGTAACAATGGTATTTTACTGTAGTAGATATTATAACATGATTAGACCATATCTCCAACCAATATCAACTGACAATGACTTACATAGGCAGTGCCTGCTATCCAATCTTTTTATGATTATTCATTAAAAGATATTGTTTAAATTAAACCAGCTGTGTCTGCACACCACAGATTCATATTGTGATATTAATTTTCTTCTTGCTGATGGAGATGATGTGTGTTTTTTTTGTGTTGGGAAGGAGGATTGGTGGGGAGGGGTTGGGAGTGGGTGGTAGATGTTTGGGGAGGGGGGTGAAATTGGGTTCCCTTTTGGATATTCTGAGAAAGCTAGGGATCAAAATTCTTTATAATAAAATAATAAACTCTGCTTATTAATTACCACTTCCTCAGAGAAGCCAATCTTTGCAGATATTTCATTCTCTGCTGCCACCTACCACATGCATCAAACTATAACAAACTATAAACAACAGTGAACCTTCTCTTTTATATACTAATTATCCCAAATGCACCAGGTAATGCTACAAAATACAGTACAGTAGCAGCTTCAAACAGTGACAACTTACACTCCAGGCAATGTCTGGTAGGGTCACCCCAGTGTCCTTGTCTCTGATGTCCAGATTGACGGTGTGTGAACTACCCTGGTAGATGTCGGGTGACGTGTAGGTCACGGCCGAAGTCAGTAATCGCTGGGCGACACTGAGAGGAGAGGAGGCAAGGGTGAAGGTCGCTTCTGATGGGTCAATCACCTTGAAATCCAAAATGTACCTGAAAAATCAATTAAATGTGTAAATATGTTTCAAAATCTGTTAACTCCTAAACCTATGAAAATCTGTATAAAAACAATAATGATCAATCATTTTGTAAAATGATCAGTCCTTATTACATACAATAATTCTGTCATGTTTTTCTATGAAAATGACCTCATTTTAACTGTGAGGCTAAGTCTCTGGTTTACTCACCCTGATCCACTGTGGGATATTCCCAGTCCAGTGAAGTTGGCCCATCCATCAATGAATGACACAGTGGTGTTTCCGACCAGTGTGGCCGAGGGATTACTGCCACTACCTGCTCTTAGACTGACCTCAACCTTCCAGGGCTTAGAAGAGGCCCCCAGCAGGGTTACTCTGTCTCCCTGTTAAAATTAATAAAGAAGTTGACAACCTTAGATGTAAATTTGAGAAGCTACCACAAACTTTTGCTTCATATCCTATCAAACTTTACAGTATAATCTATTTTTTGATGGAAAAAAAATTGGTCATTTTACTTGAGCCATGCAGCTATAAAAATAAGTTGTATGACTGAAATTGTCACCCATAAATTATTTTTCTTCCTTTGCCCTTGTCAAAAGTGAGCAAATTTAAAAACCTGGGTGCATTATCTTTACATAAAACATTGTCTGGGTGAATTTAAAACAGGTCAAAATTGTTTTGCAATGGAAATATAACATGGGGTGAAAATAATCATGTATGCAGTCAGCATTGACTTCAATATTTGCATTTAATTGAACTGTAAATAGACCATTTTCTTTGAATGTTTAAATATTAATAAACAAAAAATAACAGACTGATGAAAAGACACAAAATAAATAATTCATAATTACCAAGAACAAATACATGCATTTACATAACTTATCACTTTAATTAAAAACATGAATCACCAGCTTTATAATCATGGCATGCACGCACAGAAACAAAATGTAAACTGCAACATATATTTGAGTAGGACAAGGGAGGTAATTTGTTACAGAGGATACAAAA